GTTATTGAGGTTTAACTGTCACTGTTTCATTACAACTGTTATCAAGGTTTAACTGTGACTGTTTCATTAGAATTGTTATTAATGTGTAGCTGTGGCTGTTTCATTTCTATTTATCTTTAAAACTGTACTGTTTTGCAGCAACCTAGCAAATTATGCTAACATAAAGTGCTTCTTATTGATAGTATTGATAAAAATATTGTTTTTCTAAGTGTAGGTATTAATTTATTGCTATTAGGTAATGTGTTGCAAGTTTAACCATTGTGTTTTCATGTGATTTGTCTGTTGACAAAGACATTTTACAGCAGGAATGTAAATATAAACACAGTCATGAACAGTTCTATATACAAAAGTGTCTAAGGATTAAAAGTAGTTATTTCTCTCTCTCTCTCTGTTTTGTTCTACAAATAAATTATTAACTTTTTCAGCTCTGTCCTAACTGAGATGTTTTAGTAAGATTCCACATGTTGTTATTTACAATTTAGTGAACACAATGTGGCTACTGTTAACGTGGCTTACACTAAATTCCTTTTGATATCTTAAATATTTTGTAATTTCATTACTTCTGTTAAAGTCTGCATCAACTAGTAAATTTTAACCCTAACAGTGATTAGTGGTCTTTACTTTGGTACAAAAATTTCTGTATCCTAAATTTAAAGTGATAGCATTTTAGCCGTTAACCAATATTTGCATTATAATGTGATATGTTGGATGTATTATACTCTTTCTAAGTGTAGAACTTCTGAAATCATAAGCCTATGAGTCCTCCAAACAATCTTGTAAACTTATTAAGGACACCTCATATGCTTCTTTTCTCAAAAATGAAATATGTTAAGTGATCTTAACCTATCCCATAAAATACCCTTCCATCCCCAAGATCATCCATGTAGCTGTCCTCTGAACCATTACCAATAAGTCGCTGTCCTTTCTTAGGTAAAGAACAAAAACTGTATGCACTGTTTCAGTCGAGACCTAACTAGTGATTTTCATAGAGAGATGATTGCCTTATAATAAATGTGTGTGACTGGATCGATGACTTGAGTGATTTATCCACCATTATGTCAGATCCTTTTCGTCAATCAAGCTGTCTTGGGGGTGGGTTGCCACGTGTGATCCACTTATAACCCAGATGCATTACATTGCACTTACTCGAATTCCATATCATTTGCCAACTTCCCAGTTGATGTTAGACACACTGTAATATCGCATCATCTTGTAACCTGTTGGAAGAAATGCTGTATGAATGAATGCAGTGGAAACCAATTGTGTAGGATTAAGTAAAAATAAAAAATACACACATATAGTATATGTGTGTGTGTGTGTATATATATAAAACAGTAGACATTAAGATCATATGTCTTGCTTATTTTAATGTAATTTTTCCTTTAACTTGGTGTCAGTATCTATCAAGTGTACATTTTGGAAAGCAAATTAAATATTATAGCAGCTGTAAATGTACCATGGTTAATGTAACTTTTTAAAGTGGAGCAACTGTAATACTTCCTAATCAGTTAATCAATGGCCATTTCAAATGTAATACTTCCTAATCAGTTAATCAATGACCATTTAAAATGTAATACTTCCTAATCGGTTAATCAATGGCCATTTAAAATGTAATACTCCCTAATCAATTAATCAATGGCCATTTAAAATGTAATACTTTCTAATCAATCAATCAATGGCCATTTAAAATGTAATACTTCCTAATAAATCAATCAATGGCCATTTAAAATGTAATACTTCCTAATCAATTAATCAATGGTCATTTAAAATGTAATACTTCCTAATCAATTAATCAATGGCCATTTAAAATGTAATACTTCCTAATCAATTAATCAATGGCCATTTAAAATGTAATACTTCCTAATCAATTAATCAATGGCCATTTAAAATGTAATACTTCCTAATCAATTAATCAATGGCCCATTAACTTGATTAGTACGCTGTTTCTCAAACCATAGTATGTTCACCCCCAAACAGGTGCTGCCATAAGTTACCTTCCATTTTGTCAGCAATACACAATTTGTGACAGTGGCAGATAGCCTTAGTAACTTTTACATATCAAAGACAGGGTAAGAAAGTGTGGTGGCAATATTTTGATGACTTATATGGTTGGAATAATAGAAAATAGTGATAAAAAGAAACCCTAATTTTGGTAAGTTGATTATTTTTGTGACACTTGATATAATTATAATTTTGATTAACAAATTGTTGGAATAATCTAAAAAGTAATAATCAGAAACACTAATTTTTTGTTGTTGATTATTTGTGTTACAGTTGATGTAATCATTATTTCAATTGATTGTTGGGATAATCAAAGAGTAATGATTGGAAAACTGTCGACATATTCCTTCAACCTATCTAAGGGGTATTCTACTGCTGATTGGTGAAGAATTCACCATGAATCAAATATAGATGTTAAACATGTCATCCGTGGCAAAACATCTAGTAAATCAAAGTTATAAAGTGATAGAGCTGGGCAAAATAACTGATTATAAAGTGATAGAGCTGGGCAAAATAACTGATTATAAAGTGATAGAGCTGGGCAAAATAACTGATTATAAAGTGATAGAGCTGGGCTAAATAACTGATTATATAGTGATAGATTTGGGCAAAATAACTGATTAACAATGAGCAGCAAACACATAGTTTAGTGACATGTATACTAATCAAGTGAAATTACGATTAAAAATTAGTATTTAGAGCTAAATATTATGATATTTAAAACAAACAGATAGACTTTAGTGTCCTCTATGGAAATGAAGAAATTCCCTTGATAGAGCATTTTGGACAGTAGCGAGCTCTGAAATTGTATCATAACTTAATTTGTAGCAGTGCCATTATACACAAAAGGAAGATTGGGGTTACAAAAGAGACCCCCCCTGACTAAAAAAAAACCAAGGCAATGAAGGTGAGGATATCTCCTAATACCATTCACTAGGTAATATGCAATGATTTTTATAAGTTGGTAGAGACTCACAAGCCAAATTTACCGGAGATTCTAGAAAAAGCTGAGTGATTAGTGAAATTTGATAATCGATTAATTGCTGGGTTTATTAATGGATTATATTCAACTTGTTATTCAACATAAGACTTGAATAGTTGAAATGATCAAGAATAGTAATAAGTGGAAACCTTATTACCTTGCTTAATAGTTAATATTGGTTTGTCAGAATGTTTGGTTTTCGAATAGATGTCTGTAAACAACAAAACTCATCTGTAACACTTCTGTTAAAAAATGACTTAAACTGTATATGTTTTTATTCAAATTCCTCTTCGTTCATCCGTTTAAGAGTTCAGATCAGAGTTGTGTAAAAATAGCATTTCAGACCTATCGTTTGTCTACCACAAGTCACTGCTGTCGTTTGTCTACCACAAGTCACTGCTGTCATTTGTCTACCACAAGTCACTGCTATCGTTTGTCTCCCACAATCACTACTATCGTTTGTCTCCCACAAGTCACTGCTATCATTTCTCTCCCACAAGTCACTGCTGTAGTTTGTCTCCCACAAGTCACTGCTGTAGTTTGTCTCCC